GCTTTTTAATCATGATTTGCGAAATATGATGTAAGTATGTGAAAAAAGTTTTGTCTCGAATTACACAAAAATAATTTCAATCGTGATGTCAAACAATCTCTAAACTCCTCAACGAGTTAGGCCGCATTCTAATTTTTCCAATGAGGGCCTTCTCTATTTTTGCTCGATCCAACTACACTAGACAAGTAGACATACAATCTGTTTGGTGTGGTGTTTTGGAGGGAAAAAAAGTAGCTTATAAGTGTGATAAGTCAGCTTGCAAATTTAGGAGCTGTTTGTCACAGTTTTTGACCAATCTGACATAAGGGTCAAAAGCTGTTTTTTTTAAGTATGATTGTAAAAACACCTACAACTTACTATGACTTATGCAAAAATAGCTTTTTGGAATTAAAAGAGATTTTTGTCCTTATATATAGATATATATATATATGTTATTCTTATGCTTCTCTCTATATTCCTTGTAATTTTTGATTAGTTTTTAGTTATTTATTTTTAATATTCTAAAATAATTTTTAACAATTGTTATAATATTTTTAATTTTTAATATTATTTTTATTCTATATTTATATAAATTATACAGAGTATATCATCTAATTAATTATGTAGTATTATTTGGTTCAAAAATTTTTATTTCTAATTTAAATATATTTTATTAATTAAATATAGATTTTTCATATTATCATAATTTAAAATTATTATATTTTGTAAATTCATATGTTTAATTATTTTTCATTATTTAATAAAAGTGTCATTATGCAAACTAAACTTACTTATTCAATCATAATCTAAACGACTTTTTTACTTTACAAACTAACTTTTGTAAAAATCAATCCAAACACAAATCACACTATCCAATCTAACTTTTATTCAATCTCATTTTTCTAAAAGTCATATTCAAAATAAATTATTTTTTCACACTAATCCTGACGGACCCATAGTTAACTGCCTAGCCCCTCTAAAGCCGCAAACGTTCTACAAGATTTCGGGGCTGATCAATCCCACATGCAACCCATAGAGCCTATACTGGGAGTATCTCTCTCTCTCTCTCACACACACACACACACACAGAGACACACACAGACACAGACATAGACACAGACACACACACAACATACACACTCCTCTAATCCTTAATATAAGACCCATTTAACTAATTTGATTAGATTAAGGAAGTTAGGTAAGTTAGTTAATTATAACAAATGTGACATATTTTTCCTAAAACACCATAATCATCTTTCTTAATGTACCTCCTCTCCCTCTTTTACTTGATTATGGTTGAGGGAGTATCTATAAGGGTAATTAAGAGAAAATTGATAAATATGAGAAATGGATCTTATATTTAAGACTAAAACCAACTCAACAATTGGGTCCTATATTAAGGACCGGAGGAGTATATCACAACAACAAAATAAAAGCACAATCATTACACCAAAATAAATCAATAAAAAAATTAAATTTTTTGATTCATGTCAGGTGTCACATAATCCTTATTAATCTAATATGTTAATTATTAGTTTAATGAATTAATATATCATAAATCCTTAATTTTTTTGAGACTGGAGAGGTCCACATGGTGCTCCTCACGAAAGCTAATGACATCTCTGAACTTCTTTTCTGCAGGGAGGTAGCGTCCACCATAAGGACAAATACCCTGAAATGTTTTAATATAATAACAACACTTATAAGTGAATCTGTTCTAGGGAAAGTACCATAAGGTTTAAAGGAATAGGATGAAAGGGATTATGCTGTGTCATATATTATGTTATTAGTACCTCAAGGACACCCTGATGAGCCACTAATCTTCCTGCTGCTATGGTTGCAGCTCCAGCCAGGAAGTTAGAGTGATGAAACTGAATCCTTATATTCCAGTTTTGTCAGTTACAGCTTAAGAAGATTTCTCTTGGTTGTTTTGCTGGTTACATTGTTCCTAGATAGGCTTTGTCCCGAAACTTTTCCCATCTCTGGGGAATCTTGGCTCTGCAAAAGCCAAAATCTACAAGGATAAAACACATGTCAGTCAGGTAACAATTGACGTTTCACGTCAGGGATCAATTGCTTGAATATTTTGCTGCAAAACCCAATTAAGGCATCCTCATCGCCAATTTCTATCACTGCTTGGGGTGAAGATAGCCATTTAGAGTGATGGAACCAAACTGTACATTGGGGATTCTAAGTAGTGGTGGTGAAGAATAATGATGAGCGAGCAGAAAAGTAACGCGATGGGTAAGAGGATCCAATTGATTTTGAAAAGTTCTGTGGCAAACAAGGACAGCAAAAAAGTGGAGAAGCTAGCTAGTTTTGAATCCAAGCACAAAATTCCTTGACATGGACAGCGACATCAAGGCAAATGAACCATATGAGATAATGCTCAATGCTTCTGATTTTGCAGGCACAAGTTTGTCATTCACCAAGGAGATCAAACAGATCACATCAAACATTAGAGCTGCCACAGGGCCTTGGAATTTCTCTAAAACTCGAATTCTCTTGCCCCACAAGATGAGGCACCCTATCATTAAAATGAGTAATAGATAAACAAGGAGATCACCAATGCATGAAAGGGTAAATACTGATTTATTTGGTTCATCGACATTTGTAATTGTAAATTTGTAAGCAGTTAGATGAAGAAGCTTCTCGTAACATGAAAGTAGAGGAATGTTGATCAACCTGCACTGCTTGCAAAATTTCGAAATTGGAGTGAGTTTCTGGTTCTTCATTTGAAGATGAAGATGAGAGTCTGAGCTATGGGTGGAGTGCGTCCAGCGGAAAGCTTTCATTTTGAAGATTCACTATTTTATTCCAGTGAAGATTTGATTGAGAGGATTCACGCCACTATTTCAATTTGAATGTAAATCTTACTTTATCATACATAAAAGGGGTTTTTGTATTACCCTAAAAGGGTTTTTAAAAAATATATATATTTTTATACAGTTTGAGATAAAACTTTTCTCACATATTTACTTAATATCTCATAAAATCACTTTTAAAAATATGGTTTGGTTTTTACTCAAATACTCTTAGAAATTCTTTACAGAATATAAATTCTCTTCGTCAAAACCTAAGGTGTGATGTCCAAAATAATGAAGAATGAATGAACTCTTTGCTTTGGTTTGTATCATTGGATGTTCATGTTTGGGTACAAAAAATAAACTATCTTTACTGAAGTTTTGTTTAATATTTGTATAAAAATGAAGTAAAAATACAAAATGATGATATAGTATTTTATTAAAGATATTAAAACTTGAAGCATAAATTGTTCTAATTAAATAAAAAAAATCAGAATTTGACATACATTAAAAAATCACATTGAATGGGGGGGGGGGGGAAAGGAGGATTAAAATCTAATGATCATTACAAAAGTTGAATGGGAGAATTTGTTGCTCTATAACTTGATGAGAAATAATTATTTAAGATTATTTATTTGCCCTTCGGCGCTCCATTTTTGGAGAAGATCTTATCTTAAAATTGTGACATAAACAAAATTATTACAAGACCTCAGTATATTATAAAAGGTCAATATTTGTGCTGCACGCTTTAGTCAGAAAATCATTTACCAAAACTTAATCATCAAATAATTATTGGAAAATACCGTTGTCAATGCATAAAAATGGGTATTGCCATTCTATGGGTCAGAATAATTTTTTTTTTCCCCTGGCAGCAACAAATATTATGAATATCATTAACATTAATAATAATAGGAGCAACATGTAAACAATGCATGTGCAGTTGGAAAGCAGCAGGGAGAGAAAAGCACGTGAGGTGAATCACACGACTCAATGTTTACATAGGTGACACGACTCAGAAAAAAGCATAGTGTTCGGTTACATGCCAACTCTTAAGAAGTGTCAAGTGTCAACATCAAAGTGGGTCCCTGGAGGCTCCCTTAGCGTCTGGGAAAATCAGACAAAAACCCGGCATTATTCAAAAAAAAAAAAGGAAATTAAAAGAGCGGGGGGCCACCCGGCGCCGCAACTCCCCAAGGGTGCGTCTAACGGGGCTTGACATGTTTGGAATTCTCATTCTACGCCTGCGCAACAAACAAACAGTACTATGCTTATTCCAGTTACTTTAGTTTTCTTTTAGGGAAAATTTCACTGTAGGACCGCAGAAGACAAAAAATTTCAAAGAGCCCCCAAAACATTCTGAAATCTCACTGCAGGACCAAGGGGCCAATCTGATATTAATTCTACAAGCGAAATGACGCCACTGCCCCTAATGAAGACTTATTTCCTCCGAAAATGAGACATATTATCAGCGGATGTAAAAGACGGAAGAAAGACGGAAAGGGAGGAGATGGCGTTATTTCCTGCCTCTCCCATGCAGCGCGCCGGTGCGGAAGGGAGATAGCTGACAACCATGAGCTGAGAAAACGCAGTGGCGGAGCTTCACTTTTGCGGTCCGTCCCTCCACCGTCTTTCGGACTCCAAGCTAGAGTTGGTGCAAGAGAGAGAAGTCGCAAGTGTGCCCTATAGTGTTGCGTGTTCTCTGGAAGTAGCGTCAGGTTGGCGTGGGAGGTAAGATTTTGTTGTTAAAATTTCGGTTTTGTTGGTGTGATTCGGTTAGCACAGGTGGGTTGTGATGGGTGAATGAGGAAGAAATGAGTATTTAAGTGCATGGGCATGTAGGTTGGGAGTGAGTTGCAAATCTTACGGTTTTATGGTTTGAGAAATTCATGCTGATGCTGTTTTAAGTTGTTAAAGATGTGGTGTTTGTGATGTTTTCAAAAGTGGGTGCATATTGAGAATAATGCACTGCTGAAGGAACATAGGTAGGCGAAAAAGAAAGGGAAATGGGTGTGTGGCCTGGAATGGGTTATATGACAGGTAGACGCGCAGAGGAATGGTGAAAATACATAGTACGATGGTAAATTTGGTAATTCTGGTTGTGTGCGAGAAAAAGCAATATAATGTTGTGAAAATACTAATTCTTGTTGTCAATTGTCAAATTGCTGATGTAAACGTACGTTGTGTCATACTTGAATGATGTGCAGCAGCAGAGGATAAATGGCTAGCAGTAGTAGGAAACAAGTATTTTGCATCTTTCATGTTAGAGGGCACTTTGTAAAGACCTCAGAAGGGAAATTCATTTATGAAGGGGGCATCATTACTGGAAGATTGATTAGAGAAGGGATGACATATGAAGAACTACAATGCATGGTAGCTCATGATGTGTGGCCAGGGACTCGTGAATATAAAATGAAGTACACAGTTAGCTTTGACCGGGATACATTCTTGGATCTTGTTGACGATATTGGTGTTGGACAAGTAATTGAGTACAACAATAGTAGTGGCCATGTTTATGTTTGTGAGAATGAGAAAGACTTCACACAAGTGTCACAGCTGGACAGTGTACAAGAGTAAGTTGTTCTCAACTGGTTTTATTAAGATTGTGTGTAGGATAAGAAAGAATATGTCCAATTTTGATAAATTGAACTGTAATACTGAATAGCTGTATTTGTTTATGCAGGTTAGATGATTTGGTTGGCCCTTGTGGAATGTCAGTATGTGCAATGGAATTGGATCTAGACACAGACAACATAAACATATCTTCCGTACAAGATGTGCCAACACTGATAGGAAGTGTAGGTATGGAAACGTTGCCAACCCCAATAGCGGTGATGAATTCATCAAAGTGGGCAGATTTGTTGATGTCAAGAGGGCAAACCTTTGTTAGTGCTGAACATTTTAGAGAGGCATTATATAAGTATAGCCTTGCACACAAGTTTGGTTACCGGTACGTAAAGAATGATAGGCATAAGATGATTGTGAAGTGCTGTGTAGAGGGTTGTCCCTGGGAAATTTCAGCATATGGTGTAGGTGAGAATAATGGATTCCTAGTTGTGAGAAGATTTAACTATGAACACTTGCATTATGCACAAGACAACTTAGTTGTCCCTCAGAGAAAGAGGTGCAAACTTGCTTCAGCAGTCATAATAGATGAGTTGATTTCTTGCATGCACAAAGCTCCAAATGACATTAGACGGGATTTGGAAAGAGAGTATGGGTTGAGGCTCAACTACCAACAAGCATATAGGGCGAAAGAGAAAGCATTGGAAAAATTCATGGTTGTCCGCAGGAGTCTTATATGCTAATCCCTTGGATATGTGAAAGGCTGAAGGAAAGTGATCCAGAAACGGTAGCAAAGTGGGTTGCATCATCAGATAATAGATTTCAAGCTGTATTTATTGCATACGGTTGCTGTGTAGAAGGGTTTTTGAAAGGTGGCAGACCTGTATTATATGTGGATGGATGCCACTTGAGTGGTCCGTACAAAGGAACGTTATTGGGAGCACAAGCGTATGACGCGGATAATGAATTATTCCCACTTGCATATGCGATTGTTGGAGGTGAGACGCTTGATGACTGGGCATGGTTTCTTGGTAACATAAAGGATATTACGGGCTCATTAGAAGTGACAATAGTATCGGATAGACACAACTCAATAAAAGGTGCAGTGCAAGCCGTGTTTGGAGGAGATCGACATGCTTTTTGCTACCGTCATGTGAAGGAGAATTACAGTGCTGAGTTTTTGAAGATAACCAGGGGAAAGAGGAGGACCAGCGGACAGACAAAGGAAGTTGCACTAAAATTACTTGATTCTATTGCATACGCAAGACTTGATAGAGACTTTGATTGCAGTATGGAAAAGCTAATGGCATTTTGTCCAGAATTAGGACAATGGCTTCAAACAAATGGAGACATTGACCGTTGGGCACAAAGCAAATTTCCTTACAAGAGGTGGGACAATATCACAACAAATCTAGCCGAATCCTTTAATGCTTGGCTTGTTGGTGAGAGGAAGCACAACATAGCTGTCTTGATACATGAGCACAGGAAAAATTGGCAAACAAGATGTACCACAGCAAAGAAGCCATGACGAATTGGAGCAATGGTGTGGGACCTAATATAGAGGAAAAGTTGATGGATCATGTGGCCAGATCAGAAAGAATGGATGTGCAAAATTATGGAATGAACAATTTAGGGTCAGATGGGGAAACCTAGATGTGCGGGTAAATCTTGTGTTACGTGAATGTACCTGCAAAGGTTGGCAAATGTCAGGACTACCTTGCCCACATGCGTGTGCTGCAATCAAGAAGGTATATGGTAATATATATGCATATGTCGAGGATTGCTTTTTACTCTCAGCCCAAAAGAAAATTTATGGCAGACTCATGATTCCAGTTGAGACCCATGACATCCCTAGGCCAGATTCCCTTCGATATGAAGATTACTCGTCCACCATCTTCCTACAACCACCATTGACAACTCGGCGTGCTGGAAGACCCAGAGGTAGGAGGATTGAATCACAATTCCAGCAGAAGAAAGCGTATCATTGCTCAGGATGTGGTGAAGCTGGTCACACTAGAAAGATTTGCACTAACCCGAACCCTGGGTGACTTTGTTGCTGAAAATGGTCTTTTATTTTTTTGGTTCAACACACAGCTACTTTTGTACATAAATGAGCCCCACTATGTAGTTGTTGAGTTGTTGGGGAAGTAGCTATGACAACCCATTTTGATTTTTTGGTGGTGGGTTCGATTATATTTTGTATAGTGGTGTCAATAGTTGAAAAATTTCATGACAGTAGGTGACTATAGCTGTCGCAGGATATGTTAGGCTGTAATCTGTCCACATGCGAATGGACTATTTTTAGTTGTAAATATTTGTATGTATGTTGCAAATTGTGTAATGTCACTTGCAAACGGAGATTCCCCTGCCTGTCCACTGACGGACAGCTTCTTCGGGTGAAGGTCATCGTATGTAAATGGACTGATTACAGTTGTGAATATATACATATGTATGTTGCCAATTGTCTAATGTCACTTGCAAATGGTATACGAAACCATACTTGGACAGCTTCTCCAGGTGAATCAGTCCGCATGCAAATGGACTATTTTTAGTTGTAAATATTTGTATGTATGTTGCAAATTGTCTAATCTCACTTGCAAACGGAGATTCCCCTGCCTGTCCACTTACGGACAGCTTCTTCGGGTGAAGGTCGTCATATGTAAATGGACTGATTACAGTTGTGAATATATATATGTATGTTGCCAATTGTCTAATGTCACTTGCAAATGGTATAAGAAACCATACTTGGACAGCTTCTCCAGGTGAATCAGTCCGCATGCAAATGGACTATTTTTAGTTGTAAATATATGTATGTATGTGGCAAATTGTCTAATCTCATTTGCAAATGGGCCCTTGCACAGCTGTTCACCCACGGACACCTCCTTCAGTACGAGTAGGTCAGATGCAAATGGATTATTTATAGTTGTGAAAATATGCATGTATGGTGCGAATTGTCTAGTCCCACTTGTAAATGGGCTGTCCCACACTTAAGGAAGACGCATGCATCAGGTGAATCAGTCCACATGTGAAGCCAAGTATGTGTCTTGCAAATTAGCTAGTCCCCCTTGCCAATATGAACGGACGGATTCCACGTGTGAATATAGGTATGTATTTTATAAATAGGCTAGTTCCCCTTGCAAATGCGCTCTCCCGCACTTCTTCCCTCACGGACACATGCTTCAGCTGGTCCAGTCGACATGTGAACGGACTGATTCCATGTGTGAATATAGGTATTGGTTGTGCAAATAGGCTAGTTCCCCTTGCAAATGCGCTCTCCCGCACTTGTTCCCTCACGGACACATGCTTCAGCTGGTCCAGTCGACATGTGAACGGACTGATTCCACGTGTGAATATAGGTATTTGTTGTGCAAATCGGCTAGTTCCCCTTGCAAATGCGCTCTCCCGCACTTGTTCCCTCACGGACACATGCTTCAGCTGGACCAGTCGACATGTGAACGGACTGATTCCACGTGTGAATATAGGTATGTGTTAGCAAATTGGCTAGTTCCCTTGCAAATGCGCACCCTGTTCAGGTCAAGGACGGCACATGTAAATGGACTGATTACAGTTGTGAATATATGTATCGGAGTAGCAAATTCCCTAGTTCCTCATGGAAATGGACACCTTATTCAGGTGAAGGAGGGCACTTGCATATTTAAGAGGACACGTTGTTCAGCAGATGAACGACACTTGTGAATGCTCTAATTTCTGTTGTTAACTTATTTGTCTCTCTTGCAAATTGTCTAATCGTTCGTGCAAAGGTCTAATCCCTGATGTAGGTTGTTCAGTTGGAAATGGACGAACATTTGGTGTTAATTCCTGTTTTTTTGGTGCAAATTCCCTAATTTGTGTTGTTAACCGTACATCTAATGAAAGTAAACAAGTAGTGATAATATGAATCCATCAAAACAGTCTTCATTAACATCGTTTGTATGCACAACATTTTAGTCCGCATAAAGTGTTCACAACAACAATTACAGTGCTTATCAGCAAAAACTACAAGGTAGGAATTTGATCAGTCATCGCTTTCTCTTGCGTTGTCTGTTAATGTGGTCAAGGTGTTTGGTAACAGCATCTGACTTGATGTTTCTTTGATGCGTCACGAGCCACCACAATAGCTCACACCGTATAGATGTGTATTGATCCTATGGGACAACAACAACTGTTCTCAGTAAGTTGACACAAATGCATGATGTCATTAATATATAATTCAACACCTACTGCTGTATAATAAGGCATGGTGAATAGAACTCCATCCTTCTCTTGTGGGTTGGGCCACTCTCTTAGATATGTGATGACATGAACCCCACAATCATCACTGAAAAAATGAACACATCACTATGCTGCCTTATGTATGTCGATTATAATTTATGACAAATAACTTTCAGTGAACAAAAGACTCACGTATTGTCTTGAACATGAACCGTGGGATACAAGATGTCATTGTTTGAATCTGGGTTGGCCAACCCCTCCAGCTCAGGCTTCACTCTCCTTAGGATTTCAATGAAGTGTGCCCTCTACACAATTACAGATGATTATCACACAGGGGATACTATGGTTGTCCAACACAAAAGTAGCAGAATAATTACACCACTTACAAAAGTTTGCGCCATCATTTGCTGCCCCTTTAATGCTGGATCAGACTTATTCTTCTTCTTTTGGTGCTTCATTGTATCCTCACCACCACGCAGAGAGTCCAGCACATAAAACTTTAGTGTGCTCGGTTCAAACACAAAGCAAAACCAATGCAGTGCAAACACAACAGGTGCAAATATGTATTCACATTCAGCCAAATTGTATCCCACGTGTTGGGGAAGTAGTTCTTTCAGGTGTTTGTCCACTTGCCATGCTGTGTGTTGCTGCACCATCCTTGCCTATCACAACAGCAAATTGCACAGCAATGCAAATTGTCAGTGAAGAAACTGTATCGATAACTTTATTGCACAATTTAAAGCATTGATCCATTAACAGGGGATAGCACTAACCGTGAAATCTGCATCAAATATGTGTCTTTTAACCGCAGAGGCACTCTCATGTTGGTCAGCGTTCAAGGTGTGGGCAATCAGAGTCATGATCTGTAGAATAAAGGAGCAGGAAAATTAAATTAAAATTGTGGCACATTCCATATATGGCCACTTTGATGTAACTTGAATAGGTGCACGTACCCTGTTGCTTATCCACCTTCTGGGACCCAGTGCTTGTAGGTCTGATCGTGTTGCCAAATGCCCAAACATATCTACCATGACCCTACAACAAATATGAAAGTGAAAATAAGTAGTCAGTGTTGCATAGTAGTATTATTCACAGGCTGTCTTTTCCATAATAACTGACTATACTTACTCTTGAGCCTCATCTGGTTGACACCACTCAGTACACACAGTATAAAATGCATCCCTCTCACTCATTTTCACCTTTCTGCCATAAGTAGACATGTAAGGAGATTTAACTGCTGGGACTTTACGTCTACTTGACCTCCTTGTGGGTAGCTGCACTGCTTTGCCCACCATTTTCCCTTCTTCCGTTTGAGCTGCCTGTTCATCTTCAGTATCCTTATCTGCAGCTTCATCTTCTCTCACATTGTCGTTCTCGTCTTCATCTTCCTCTTCTTCTTCTTCTTCTTCTTGCTGTTCATCATCATGCAATTTGTCACCACTTTCATGTGTTTCTCCGCTCTCTACAGTCATAACTTCATCATGTTGTGGCCGCTCATTTTCATCCTCCTCAGTGTGGTGTTCTTTTCCTTCTTCTTCATTGCCTCCCGGTTAAGAAGTTTATTTTCCAGCTTAACTAATTCATCACAAACTAAGTTTTGAATCTTGGTCATCTCATTGTTCAATGTGGTGTTGAAATTGAGCCAAAACTCCTTAATGTCCTGCACATTGTAAATGTATGTCATCAAACAGATATTAAGTCTCACCAACAGACATTATCACATTGGTATTACTCACCGGATGATGGAAACTTGTACTGCTCCCCGGTTGTGTTGACTCATTCACTTCAGCAGCGGGTGGACTGTAGAAAATGCCATGTCGACTCTCCTTTTCCGCATCAATTCTCCTCTTCACAGCCTTATCATCCCAATGTGTGACGGCGTCTTTGTCTTTTGGTTCACCTCCCTGTAGAGGGAACCTTTGCAGGAAGTGCAACTGCAGAGAAAGAAAAAATATGACTCAAAACTCAAATTACATAATACATCAACAGTTTAATGTTCAAAGCATATCCAACAGGCCATATTTTGTAAGGAAATATGCAAGTACCAATAAAAAGTAGATGCACCCTCCGACGACTCTGGCACTCTCGGTCTGTCCTTCCTTACTGCTCCTATTGTACCGTTTAATTTCCTCACTGAGCTCGTCAAGCACAAAGGAAGCCCAGTCAAATTTTTTCCAGTTATTTTCTGTGCAGGCCATTACTTTTAGCACCTTGTCACTCACACTTGCACTTCCCGTGGGACAAAGAAGAGTGCCCACTGTGAAAAGAACAAAATAGAATTCAAAGTTTCCATCTTCTTTATCACTCTTTATCTTCTCCGCAATTTGAGAATATGTCAGTGGAGTATAGTCCTTCTTCAGCTCATTTACTTCATCCTTGAAGCCATCCAACTTCACTTTGGAGCCCTTATCTGGTAACCCAAGAACCCTCCTAACATCTGTACACGTGACCTTCTTTGTCTTCCCCCTTATGGTAATTTGTTTACTTGGGGGGTCATATGCATGAATCAACTCCAGACATAAATCTCTGGGCAACTTATTCAAAGTAATACCAAGAAGATGACCAAACCCCATTTCTTCTACCTTGCGCTTTAAATTTTCTTTGCCATTTATAAACTTTGCCACTTCCTTGAATTTTGTGGGGGAGCACCGAGTAGAAAATGGGGACACATATTTCTCCTTCTTCTTCTTCTCCTCTATCAGCTGTTCCTCCTTCTTCCTGTACGGCTCCCTGTTAGCATCACTCATCTCCCTCCAAATTGCTGAAGCCGCATCTATGATTGCTCCCATATTTCCATGCATCTCCTGCTTCTTTTGCTCCCAATATTCTCCCTTGAATACTTTCCAGCCGGTAACTTGTGCGTCCTTTTTTCCCATCTTCTTCCTGTATCCAATAATCACAAAGTCATTAGTTAGTACATTAAACAGCAACATTCATACCATCCAAACATTTCTTGTAACATAAACCCGGAAATTATATACACACTAATTATTATTGTTAAATCCTTAACTTGTCATACGACAGGACATCAAATTGTTACATGCAGGTTAACTGGATAATGACACCATTCTTCGTGTAAATTAGCTAACATTCATTGTCAGGCCACAAAATATCAGATTCCAACTAACATTAAATTATGCAACAGAGGTGGTTAATTAACTACTTTTTCATGTCAATTCCCTAACTTTCACACTCCAACACAGATCAAACAATTACACCGGCGAACAGTCAAAATTCTGCCAATTGCTCATGTCAATTGCCTAATTTTCCCTGTGAGGCCGCTGCAAACCACATTCCCACAAACATGCAATTATGCAGCAGAGGTGGTTAATTAACTAATTTTCGAGGTAAATTTCCTAACTTTCTCAGTCCACCACGCATCAAACAGTTACACATAAGCTAAGTGGAAATCCAGCTCACTCATGGTGTCAATTGCCTAATTTTCCCTGTCAGTCAACTGCACACCAATTTCCCACAAACTTTGTGGGTAATTTACTGATTCTCCATGTAAATTTCCTAACTTGACAGATTCAACAAAAATATGAAACCGTCAGACAGGAGCTGCGCGGATAATCCCCTAAATCCTCGTGTCAATTGACTAATTCCTCCTGTGAGGCCCGCTACGGATCACATGCCAACAAACATGAAATTTTGAATTGAGTTGTTGTTACTTTACTGATTTTTCATGTAAATTCCCTAACTTCCAGAGTCCACCACACATCAACCACTTAAACAGAAGCTAAGTGCAAATTCACCTAATTGCTCGTCTCAATCACCTAATTTTCCCTGTGAGGCCTCTGCAAACCACATTCCCACAAACATGCAATTATGCAGCAGAGGTGGTTAATTAACTAATTTTCGAGGTAAATTTCCTAACTTTCTCAGTCCACCACGCATCAAACAGTTACACATAAGCTAAGTGGAAATCCAGCTCACTCGTGGTGTCAATTGCCTAATTTTCCCTGTCAGTCAACTGCACACCAATTTCCCACAAACTTTGTGGGTAATTTACTGATTCTCCATGTAAATTTCCTAACTTGACAGATTCAACAAAAATATGAAACCGTCAGACAGGAGCTGCGCGGATAATCCCCTAAATCCTCGTGTCAATTGACTAATTCCTCCTGTGAGGCCCGCTACGGATCACATGCCAACAAACATGAAATTTTGAATTGCCAGTTGTTACTTTACTGATTTTTCATGTAAATTCCCTAACTTCCAGAGTCCACCACACATCAACCACTTAAACAGAAGCTAAGTGCAAATTCACCTAATTGCTCGTCTCAATCACCTAATTTTCCTGTGAGGCCGCTGCAAACCACATTCCCACAAACATGCAATTATGCAGCAGAGGTGGTTAATTAACTAATTTTCGAGGTAAATTTCCTAACTTTCTCAGTCCACCACGCATCAAACAGTTACACATAAGCTAAGTGGAAATCCAGCTCACTCGTGGTGTCAATTGCCTAATTTTCCCTGTCAGGCAACTGCACACCAATTTCCCACAAACTTTCTGGGTAATTTACTGATTCTCCATGTAAATTTCCTAACTTGACAGATTCCCGGAAACATGAAAACTGTTTGACATAAGCTAACTGGATAAACCCCTAATTCCTCGTGTCAATTTCCTAATTTTCCTTGTGAGGCCACTACAAATCAGATTCCAACAAACATAGCTGGTAATTTACTGATTCTTCGTGTAAATTGCCTAAGTTGACAGATATATGCACACATGAGGTTGTCACATGCAACTGGTTAGTCAACTAATTCTTCACGTCAATTGACTAACTCCCATTGTTAGCCCACAAAATCTCACATTCCAACGATCAACGGGATAAACCAAACAAAACAAACTCATTTGCCTAATCCATACGACAACATTTGCCCCTCCCAATTCTTTTCCTTATTCCTGCAAAATGCCTACAAACACTATAGCAATGCAGTTAACTACCAACACTAATTTTTCCCTAAATAATTAATAACTTTCTTACTTAGCCCCCACACAAACTCTTCATGCTACACTCACAAGCGTTCGCTCACTAAATCAGGAGCATTTGCTAAAGGGCAGTCAGGGAAATGGCCGAACACTATGTGACACATTGGTAATCATTCCTGGGTTAGAACCTAAATGTCATTACCAAACACACCCACCTTTCAGTGGGTCATTCCTCCTTAACCTACCATGAAAACAAAATCCAAGAAATCTACTGCATTTAACGGGGACCGCGAAGCTTACCAAATGGAAATCAGTGACTTCTTCTCGCCCTGCTTCTTCCTTCTTTGTCGATAGCCTTGCAAGTTTCCTCCTTTGTCGGCCTCTTCTTATTCTCCTTCCGCTTCTAGTGATTACCACGAACCCGCAGATTGAAGCTGATAGAATTTTTGGGGGCCACGTCGAACACTTTTCGCAGATTGCGAGAGGCAGGAATCTTCCCACAGAGGTAGCACGTTCGCAGTCGGGAGAGGGCAGATTTTTCGTAGAGTGGTAGCACGTTCGCAGACCGAGAGACGCAGCAGTTTTCCCAGAGTGGTTGCACGTTCGCAGAGCGGGAGAGGGAACACTTTTCGCACACGGGTTACGTTCGCATATAGAGAGAGAGCGGGAGGACTTTTGACCGTCGCTTTTTCGCCTTATTTTCAAATTTCAGCGGAAGTAAAATGAGGGGCAGTGGCGTCATTTCGCTTGTGGAATTAATATCAGATTGGCCCCTTGGTCCTGCAGTGAGATTTCAGAATGTTTTGGAGGCTCTTTGAAATTTTTTGTCTTCTGCGGTCCTACAGTGAAATTTCCCCTTTCTTTTACTCAAACTACTCCTACTAATAACGAGTCATAAATAAAATGTATAAATTCTTGTAAAACATACCCTCAGTTTAATGAAATCACAGTAGAGAACAGAAGAGATAGCTCCAAAAAAACTCTTCTTCTTTTATATTATTAATAATTAATAATATCATCAAATTCACTCCCCGAATTATTTTCTTTCAATCCAAAACAATCTTGTGGTAGGAAATAGCTATAGGGTCTGTCTTGAGTACTGCATCTATCTGATCAGAGTTTCTGTTAGAGTAACAGCTAGCTTGTAGTGATAGGGTTTCCTTTGGCTTTCTTTGATGATCCATGCAAATTCTATTACGATCAATTATAATTGCCATGATCCTAATATTGAGCATAGACAGTGTATGATATGGATTGGATTACTGAAGTTGAACTTCCCTTAATTGTCGCTTTGGGGTTACTCCAAAAATTAACCGAATTAATGCAATATAGTGCAAAACTCGGGTCGTTTTACTTTGAGGAGCCGAAAACGAAATTAAACCCTAGTAAATGAATGCAAGCAACCTAAACTATAAAAAGAGATTTTTGATTTTGAAAAGCTGTTAATTAAATACTACGAATCAAATTGAAATTAAAATACTTTTTTTTTTGTTTTTATATAAAAGTGATTAAAATGAATGGAGATTAAAGAAATGA